AAACAATATTTAAATTGATATGTAATTTAACAAAAATGTTAAACTACTTTTTATTGGTAAATTTGTATTAAAATAGAATGTATTCTATTTCAATTACTATTTAGAGGAACTTATTTTAAAAAGCTTCATTTTAATGTTTATGACAAAATATAAACAATAAAATATAATATTTTTTTATTTATAAAATTATAATACCTCATTTTTTATTTTCGTTACAAAATTATTTATCCTACCTTATAAACCAGATTTATCAAAAGTCTTAAAAACAATTTTTAATACACAAAGTACTATATATTTATGCACAAAGTCTTAAAAACAACTCATAATGCATTAAGTACTACTACTTTATGCATTCAGTCTTAAAATATTTTAATCTACAATTAAAATAACATATAATACAAGTTACCAATGCACATTATTATCTTTTATTTTCATGTTCCCTAGAAACTTTTGACATCTTTCATTCATGTTTTCACCCTCTCATACCTCTATGTCTTATTCTCATCTCCCAAGGTGATATTCAAACTGATATTCATTATGAGTTATTAAAAGTTCTCGCATTCATTTCTCATTCAATTGCTCTAGAACTCTCGGTCTCGCTCTCGATCTATTGATTCTTTGCTCTTGGTGTAAATCGAACACATTTGTGGAGTCGTTTAAATATGTTGAATTTTAAATATATTGGATTTTAAACTGTCATACAATTTTTTTCATCGATAGACTGTAATTGGAACCATAACTTTTATTTATTCAAATTGTATTAATATGTAAAGACCAAGTGTAACTTATATCATCGTCAAATCTTCTCTATTAAAACCAATAAAACTTCAAAATTATTAAAATTCATAGCTACTGCTATATTGCACGGACACACAACTAATATTAAATAAAAGGGTTAGAATTTCTTGGACATAATAGTAATAAAAATAAAAGGAAAAAAATAAAAGAGGTTCGCCCAGTCTGGTAGGACATCAGAAGATCCGATTCCTTATCCGAGTTAGAAATATCAAGCTCACGTGCTGGTCATGTGACCAGGGTTATTTTCTTTTTGATTTAAGTTTCTGTTGAAAAATACCACGTGCTGTCTAATGCTGAAAGAAAGGGAAAGAACAATAAAGAGAAATTGAAAAGATGGTTGTATTTTCATAAATAGACCCTCTACTTTCATCTCTTTTCTAAGTTTAGTCCCTCACATGGGTTATTTTCGTTGACTACATTTCTGGTCTTCAAATTTCCTTTTCAAAGTGCTTAACTTTTGACCATACAACATTAGTCGACTATTCTTCCCCCTTTTTGATAAATTTATCGTCTTATTATATAACACTAGAAGGGTACTCATGTAATATAGCGGAATACATCTTGATTTTAATATTTCATATGTATACAAATTGTTTTTAAGAGTTTTTATCAAATAATTTATAATATAGTATATATAATTTAGGTTTAGTAACAAAGAAATTTAAATTAGGTTTAATAATATAATTTTTTATAAAGATAATAACTAAATATTCTGTTAGTTATCAATGATTATCCTAATTATATTTTAGATTTTTTATATTTAAAATGAGATGTTTATTCAATATTTGATTATGTTTATCTGCAGTCAGTTAGACGAATTCAAGTATGAAGCTTTAATAAGTTGTACTTATGCACAATTACTTGTAATCTTAAATTTTAAGTAATATTCATCAATAAACAGTACTTCGTGCATAAAAAATCGTTTTTAAAAGTTTTTGTCAAATACTTTATAATATAGTATAGATTTACATGAAAAATCTGTTTAGAAGAATTATAATAGACAGTATAGTGTTTCCATTTAATTATCAGATTTTAAAAACCGTTATATAAATCTATAAAATGCTAATATTGTTGTCAAAAAGTAGATCATGCTTACAAGGACGGAGCCACCTTAAAGCCAGAAATGGTATTGGCTCCCCTCAAACTTCAAAAATAAAATTTGATACAGTTCCAAACCTCAATTACTTATTCATATCAAATTCTTCGTTTTCGTTCTTTATAAATGTCAAATTTTCTAAAGGTTCTAAAATAAATACACGATTTATTTACGAAAAATTTCATGTATTTTCAAAGAACTTTTCTTATTAACATGGTTATCTACATAGATATTGTATTTATTTGTATCAATATAGATATAGTTATGTTGTTTAAGGAGCCGTTTACCAAACACTTACTGGGTAAGTGCTTTACTGACAAGAATCACCACTCTCGCTTATCTTATGGGGTAACACTTCTTGCCATCAAAATGGATTGATTGTAAGCATTTATAACCCGGTAAGCGTTTACCGGGTAAGAGTCAACACCCTCACTTACCGGGTAAGATTCTAGGTGCATGTCATGCTCATCTCGAAGGTAAGTGACGCCTAGTAAGCACTTACCCGGTAAGTGTTTGATAAACAGCCCCTAAGTCATCAACTTTTTTTTACAACTATTTTTAGGACAAATATTTAATTGAAAAACATATATACTTAAAAGATCGTGAATTTTCTTACATTTTTTTTCTAGACGTCCCCTCGATAAATTTCCTAACTCCACCCGTACATGTTTATAACGATTTTAGAAAATTAAATATATCAGTTTCTCAAAATCCGACGACTTCAATAACAATTTATGAAGTATAATGAACAAAATTTGAAATAAATGAAATCAATCTTAAATAATGATTATATCAATCATTATTAATGATTTTATGTTAAAGATAATTGATTAACATTAATCAAAATAGCGTCACTGATATAAATATATAAACATATAATTATATCACTGATAAATAATTTAGTTTGAATTACAGTTAAATTACGAAACATGATATTGTTTTTGTCTAAAACTATTTCATCAAAAAAAAAAAAAAATTGGGTCAATAGTAGGAACCCGATATCGATTAGCGGTTTTTGTCATTTGTGTCTGCTATATATTTTAAGCATCCCGAAATAAACTAGATGAATCGGAAGCTTTGATACGTCTTTACTTAAGAGCATATACGTTAAAATAATGGATTAATGATGAACAAAAGTTATATCGATGCACGTATGTGTGTAGAAAGTCAAACGTCTTTGGTAATTGTTCGTATTTCCTATGTATTTGATGGACACGTGGTACTTGACATGTGTAATTCCGGAAGCAACATCTTCTAAGGATGGACCCATAATTTTTTTCAAACGATGACACCATTTGACTATAAAAAAAACTATAGGGAAAAAATTTCAAGTGGTGACAACGTTTAACTATAAGAAACAAATATACGAATTTTTTTTTAAAAACGGTTGCACCATTTGACTAAGAAAATGACACTAACAGGATTCGAACTTGCATATGTGGTGGAATAAAAGCCTTGCAAACCAACTCTACCAAATAAACTTGTTCTCATTGTAGTTTCAAAATATATATAGTGGCACACAAAATATTAATACGGTTGCATCTTTCACGAACCTAATTTTTTTTACCCTTTGACGAAGGAATAATACGGTGACACATGTCACCATATATGCACCACTATAGGTCCGTCCATGACATCTTCAAAACTATCATCTTGATAATTATATTAAAGGTGATAGATATTGTGCTAGCATCTACGTTTAGAAAATCTACATGTAACTGGTTATATAGTTATTTGAGCGTTCAAATCAGTAACTTGAAGAACTGTTAGTGGTTATCTAGTAATGTACAAAAGAGTAAAGGCTCTCCGCAGTGCTTGTTGTATCAATGTATTGAACAGATGACCTAAGTTTTTAGAGTATACATGCACACATAAACAACATTGTTTCCTCCTATTAAAGTTTCGTGAACGGGCAGGGGCCTAGGGGTGCTCAAAAACCCGATGAACCCGACCAATCCAACCCAAATTAAAAAAAAAAACCCAACATGAGGTAACCCGATGCATGATCGATAAAAAAATTAGCCAACCCGACCTTATTGGGTTGGAATCAGGTCAGGCCCAAAAAAACCCGACCAACCCGACCTTAACTTTAGCTTTGAATTGTAGATGACAATCATGACATGACCAACATCAACGTCAAGAAAGCGAAAGCATCGGGGTTGGAAACGTCTAAAACTATTGTTGTTGATTGATGTATTATCATTTGGTTTAAACATTTTTATTGTAATATCTAAATATTTGATGAACTTGCATATTATCTTGAATGGTCGGTCGTATTTCAAAGGAAAGTTTCCTTTATTTTTATGTGATTTTACATTGTTTAAACATAACCCGATCAACCCGAACGGGTTGGGTTGGGTTGAAAATTTTCAAACCGCCAACATTGGGTTGAGTTGTTAAAACGGCTCCAAACCGATCAACCCGGGCCGTGAGCACCCCTAGGCATGGTACTACAACCCATCGACCGTAAAATTTTGCCAAACTCTCACAAAAAGAAAATGTTAGATGATAGCTTAATAAGTTTTAGGGGCCGTTTACCAAACACTTACCTGATAAGCACCCAGCGGTAAAATTCAACATTATCATTTACTTATCGGGTAAGATTTTTAATTGACAAAAACGGTTTTCTATGCGACAATTTACCCGGTAAGAGCTGACCGTGGTAAGAGTCATTGCCCTCACTTGTCGGGTAAGACTCTCGGTCCTTACCTCGTTTTTACCGAGTAAGATTATTGGTCCTTGTCATGTTCATCCGGTAAGGTAATGCAACTTGATAAGTACTTACATAATAATATCACAGGATTTAAGCAGATTTAATATTTAACTGAAATATATAATACATATAATCAATTAATTATAAAACTTCACGTAAGTGATCGATAATTTTTTTGTTTAAAATATAATTGAAAACATTGTTAAGGTATGGTTGTGTTTTTAATTTTTTATTTCTTTTGCAAATTATATATTTATATGGGCTTTATTTACTAGACACAAAAAGTTGGGGGTTAAAAATGCATAAACTTAAAGGTTAGGGTAGTTTTTGTAATTTATAATACTTAAGAAAACGAAGAAAACAGGTGCCCCTGCAGAAGCAAAGCAAGAAAGGAACGTTCGATCGATCTCTCTTGTTCAGGAAAACGCCACTCAACATCAGACCACTACACAGACGCCGTGAGGTCTTCTGTAGAGCGATAATTTGGCCAACAGATGCTCAAAGGTACAAATCTAATCTCTTTTTTCAAGATTCTAGAGCGAGAAGTTGTTTTTAGAGAGAGAAACACCGACCATGGCCACGAAATTGGAGTTTCAGGGGTTTTCTCTCTCGCGCTGGCTGTCTAAAGTTTTCTTATGTTTCTCCTGGTTTGAATTTGAATAATGAATTCAATTTGAGTAGAGGATAGCTGTATTGCTTGTTATGAATTAATTTCATTTTTCTTCTGTTTTTTTTTTAATGTTTTCCGATGTTTCCTTTCTTAAAAGATAGATGGAATTTTAATTTCCTTACTGATTTTTCTTGTTTGATTATGTAACCTGAACGAAATCTAATGGAATCATTATCTAGTAGTTTATGTATATATGCACACGACTCCTTCGCCTCACGCGGAAACTGGATTTCTAACTAGGGTTTCGTATTCCCTTGAACAATTTGCCTTTTGGAGCTAAAAGGTTTTGATTTCTGTTGTTTTTGTAAGTAGATGGAGTGGCTTAGCTACTTTGATTTGCTGACAACGTTGAATCACTGATTTTTTGGGGGTTGTTTTGGGTTTTTGTAACAATGAGCTAATTTTGTGCTCTCACTGTTTACACGGGTGTTTTAACTTAGGGTTTGGATGTATCGTATGTGAAGTTTCTTAATTTTTGACTCTTTTCTGTGGTTTAATTACAGGATTGACTGAACTGTGATTTGGCGGCTCTAGTTGCATTACTATCTGAGCTTGATCAACAGGGAACTTGATTCATATGGTAAATTTTCTTTATTGTACATGAGTTCAGGTCTATACTATTTCAGGCTCATGCTGGTTATTCTCCTACAGAATTTTCAATTGTCTTTTTCCCTTTGAAACGGCAAATAAATTCACAAACCCATAACTGTAAGGAGATTCAAACTCCCAATATAAACTTCATAGAGCCACACTTGGTACCATTTGCCTAAAGGCCTGTGGGTTACAGAAAATGCAGCTGTTGCCATACATGATGCAATTCTTTGAGGATTTATAGAATATTAATTTTCCTTATAATCTTGTGACAGTGGTCTATGGTATTCTTTGTATTGATGGTAGCATGATACAAGCTTATTTATGTATGGATCTGGTTATTTGATTGGTTCCCGTTGCAAATTTTTACCTATTCGTGGTCTTCTTAAGCCAAATAAAAGTAAATGTAAATTTTATCATGCTAAGTATTTATGTGCCATGATGAATCTTTTGGGAAGCAAGCTTAAAATCTGATGTAATCTCTTAAAGAGTCACGTAAGTTAATATATCTGTATTGTTGTGGTGATAGGGTCCTTTTAAGGCACCCTCACAGAATAAAGCAATAAAAGGAAAACGAATGATGTGCTTGTTCAAGGAGAAACAGTTCAAAGGGATATTTTCTTACTTCGTTTACAAATCATTTATGTTGCTTTGGACTTAATCATGTTGAATATTTGCTGCAATTGCATCAGTAAATTTAGAGAGTTGGTTTTCCTTTTGGGATTTTTTTTGGTATGGTTTAGCAGTTTTTGTTGTTGCTTAATAATTTGATATTAAGACGAAGTATTTGACCGAAACGGGGTCTGGGAAGTAATCTCTCCACCTTAGACTGTTACTGCTGTACTCCAGTATATACAGTTTTTGTTTGTTCATAAGGTTGAATGACCCATCAGCATAATCATGAAAAGAGAGAAGGTTTCTGAGAACTTAAAGTCAGTTGTCTAATATTTCTAGTGTTAACTTCTGCATTGAATTTGATTACTTTGGATTATCATGTCTAATGATTGCCATGATATCCATACTCCAAACTGAACTTAATAGTTTGAGTGATGGTGTCTTTATTTTTGTAAATTTGGTGTTAGACCATAAGGAAGCAGACCGGAAGCTTGTTATACCAAACAAGGTGAAAATAATATCTATTGATTTCCGATGGTGTCATCACTGGATGTGGACTAAGAGAAAACTTATTCGAATTGTTTGGAGTTGAAGATTACACGCGAGAAAGTTCTTCCATTGAGAGTTTGAGACAATGCTTACTTTGACAAAAGCAACTATTGCTACCATATACTTGTCATTTGTCCAAATGATGGTTGACAAGATAACTGATCTACTTTATCAATTTGGGGACCTATGGTGTGTAAATTAGTTTAACTTGATAGCACTTTGTTATGCTATCCATCAAAATTTAAGCTCCTTATTTTTGTTACATTGCGTGAAGGTAATTCCGTGCACAATTAATTAAAGTTAGCAGACATTTGCTTATTCGACAAGTTTCTAATATGGCATGAAAGTAATTGGTATACATGGATACTCGAGCTTTATTACTCCCAACTTTAGCAGTAGAAAGTTTACAGTTACGAATAAAAAGGAAAGAGAAGCATACTTTCGATTTAAATTGCATAAAAGGATTTCTAATTGACTAATTGAAAAATCATTTGAATCATTGCATTTGATTCACTTGTAAGATGTAAATTGTTCAATGTGCATGTGATGTGAGGTTATCAGTTTTCTTGCATTTCATTGAATAAAATACCTTAAACATGATTGCTTCTGGGTTATGCTTATTGTTGATACTAGGTGAGAATACCATGCTGTTGTTCATTTTCCTTTCTAGAAGATAATGCTCTTTCACTTGAATTTTTTGTCTGGCTATTGGGACGTTGTAGGTGGAATAATATATCTATATATCAGATACTTTATTACTATCATCTTAATACATGATCTTCTGTTTATTACATGATGGTAGGCTGTCCTTTAGAGGTTGGAACTTGTTCGTCTTTTAGAAGTTGGAACTTGCTCGTCTTTTAGAAGTTGGAACTTTTAGAAGTGCATACCCTGATGAGCACAAACATTGTCTGTCTTTTAGAAGTTGGAACTTGTTTTTGTGTTTTTACTTGATGCTTTTATTTCTTGGGATTGGGTTGTAGTAGCTGGAATAATATCTGTATATGTCATATGTTATTACCATTTATTCAGTACATGACTCTGTTTTACATCTCAAATATGCATAACATAACTTAGAATAAGAAGCACAACCATTTCATTATCCATGGGTTTGATTTAGTGGCTTTGCTATACTCGTCTCGTTGCTTATCTTTTTAACGTATGGTAGTAGTTATATTTTTGAGATAGTTGGCTTGATAGATTTTTTTGTAATAGATCTAGCAAGGGGATCTATCCCAAGACTTGAAGATTGACAAGGTCATACTTTTTAAGGAATATATCAGTAAGTCCGTAAGTGCTACGAAATATGAGCTTTTATCCAACTGATGCTGACCTTGAAGCAGATACCTATTACCTAGCACCTTCCTCTGGTTTAGTTATCTAGAGATCGCAGCAATTCCAGACTTTGAGTTACACATGGTGTTTATAAATTTCTTTTAGCCAAAAAGGACCACATCTAAAGTCGGGTCCGAACTGACTGATGTTGAAGAATCAGCGGATGAGGCTTAAAGTGGATACCTAGGCACCCAGAGATGAGTGCAGTTTCTGGATTATTGTATGATGAAATTGAAACTTTCCATATATAGAAAAGAAATGGAAAGAGATAGAATAGAAATGACGTGGAAATCTATTATGGTAATCATCCGCTTTTGAACATGCTTTATTAACATCATTTCGGGGGTTACCATTATCCTTTTTGTTGTGACGTATATCTTCAGGCATCAAATCTATAGTTAGCGCATTAATTTTCTGCAGACCTCTCTGAGATAAATAGTCTTCTTTTGTGCAATTACAAATTACTTCTCACCATCCGTATAGCGTATGAGACAAAGACATGGTCTCTCTGGATCCCATTGAATTTCATTTGGAGGAGGAGCCTTATCGTCAGGATTATAATTGATACAACAGAAATATAAGCTATCAATTCTTTTTCTAGATTAAGATGCTTCTCCTTCTCCATGTGCCCTTACTTTTAATCAGTCAAGGTTGATATTAACAATAATTTACTCTTCAAAGATAGTCTAAGGATATGTATGTTTTACGGATAAACATAGGAAGTCGAGAACTGGATGAAGATTAATGCACCAGACCTATGTTCTCAGTTTGAACTTCTTCCCAATATTATTAGCTTGTTGCATCCTCTTGCCCCATTGCACGTTATGTAGTTCGAAGTCCTATATGCTCTTGTTTCATCCCTGATTTCCTACAAAGTTTTATAACATCCTTTCCGTGGTCCATCCATCCATCAACATTTATTTTCAATGATATTGCAACTTTGCAGATAGTTGTAAGATAAAATGTATGAGTGGATGATCATAGGAACTTTAGCATATGGTTTTAGACTTGTTGCATCTTTTTTATCTCGCTCTCCCCCCTTGCAATTGTTGATAGTTGTAGGTTCACATGCTTGTTCTTCCGCTCCTTATCTTCATATCATTTCCAAATTAGAATTACGATCGAGAATGAATTCTACATGTCATCCAGTTCTCAGGGTTTGATCTTTATAGAGGTGGGAGTTCTTCCTTTTTTCTTCATGTATGTCTCTCGACCAACTCGTTATAAGGGCTTGAGCAGCTTTTATGAAGAAGATGTCTATGTGGCCTTTGAATTTGCAAATGGCTAAATTAAGTGCTCCATTCACGTCTGGTGGAACTTTTAATAAATAGAATATCTGGAACTGAATTACATATTTACATTGAAAGAGGATATCCTTTTCAGCTGTGTATCTTAGGTCCCTTCTGAAAGAGGCCATTCAATTTTAGTCACATCAAAACAGAAATTGCTCATTTTTAGGTTTGGCATGTAGGAAGTAAATGAAAGTTATATGCATGTAGCTGATAGGAACCTATATCAGTAATTAGCAAATAGTGAATACCAGAAAATTCATTGAAGAAGGCAAGTTGATGTGATAATTTTTTCTTCCATAGCCTTTCCTTTTGGCATGAGGCAGAATAGTAATACCTAATAGACAAAATGACCTGTACATACGTGGGAAACAATTGAATTTGAACCTTAGCGAAGTTCATGTTTCTTTCATCTACTTCAAATCATGAATTGTGCTTATGCATGTGTTATGGATACTCATGTGAAAACAGTGAAAGATCATAAAAACGGATATGATAACCTAAAACTTTATTGGAGTTAGAGATTATAAATTATGGAAAGGTGAAAGTTCAAGTTGATCAGATTGACATTGATAGTGTGATGAAATCATGACTGACATTTTATCATTGTGTTTGGAAGTGGGAATTTTAAAAATCACTATATTTAGTATCAAATGCTTTCGTTATCTCTTTACGTGCATTATGTTGATTAAGGACCAGCAGCACTTAAACCGTGTTTATAAACAGAACTGTTTATAGAAAGTGTTCATGCATGCTTGATTTCATGATTTCTCAACAATTCAGCAACTTGCATATTGTGATAAGTTATATTTCTTTTAATAGTCCAAATTCATTGAACATTTATTGTGGTTTGGTTCAAATTGTGCCACCAAGGCTGTGCTTTTTATGTAATGCGATTATGCCAAATCATGCTGTTACTGCCTAATGATTATATATTGGATTATATTTTTTGTTACAATACTTGTATTTCCTGGTACAATTCCATTTTTTTAAAAGTATAAAATATACGGCACACACCCTTCTCACCTGTGAGGTTTGAATTCCAGACCTCTTGGGAGGACGGGCACTACTGGTAACCGGGATACCGCTAGGCCCAAAGGACCTTTGGGAGTACAATGCCATCTTGTCAGCTATAAATCTTTCATGGTTGTTTTGTTACCCCTTGTTTTGGTTTTCATCGAATGATGAAAGTTCATAGTCTTGTATACACGCCATTATGACATAGGCGGTCCAAATAACATCTTGTTGCACCAATGGTGCTCCATTCTAACCTAAAGTTCTTGGATAAACTATGGGACAGTATATTGTTTTTTCAGTCACCCAAGTTTTCTGACTGTGCTTTCCATTTTGTTACGAGGAAAGCCAGTTCTAGGAAAGACCAGGGCATATGGAGAGACTTTGCTAGGACTTGAGTTATGTAGCCAGTATTTAATCTGCTAAAGAATTTGTATACATCATTCAAGTTGATTCATCTTAGAATGACTATTTTAGTTGTTGAACTGGCTGCTGAACTTTTATCCAAATCTTTGGTTGTATTTACTGCATGTAAGCCAATCCATTGTTGGTAGGATGTTAGATTTCTAGGGATAGGACTTAACATAGATGTAAAATGTGGGTATAACAAGATATTTAAGCTCCATTTATTATCTTTCTATTTCTATGGGTCCATGTTTCGATGATGTAAAGTGCGGGGGACCACACAATGTATATGAAGAATGGAGGAAAACGGGCAAAATATATGGAGCCTTACATTCTCAAAGTGGGAAGATGTCCATATTATTTGTGTTTCCTAGTACTTCTTCCATCCCAGAATAAGTGTCCACATTTCTATTTTAGTTTGTCCCAAAATAAGTGTTTACTTCCAAAAGGTAAATGATTATTTTCTGATTCTACCCTTAATTATGAGATGGAGTAATTCATTACCCCCTCTAATATTAAGGGTAAAGTTGTTATTTAGTTTATCTAAAAGTGTGCAAGTTGCACGTTCCTAAAACTTTGTGCCTTCTTTATCGTGTACATCTATTTTGGGATGAAGAGTAATAGGTGGTATATAGATAAGTTTCAGTTGGATTTTATTTTCCTAGACCGTGTTGAACTATTTGGACAAGGTTCTGACATTGATTTTGATTATTCGATGTTTGCAGGGTATGGCGTAAATTAATATTATCTGATGGATATGCTCATGCTGCTTATTTGGTTCAACCTTGGAAGTCCTAACTGGTAGGTGAGCAATATGACACTCGAGGACTTCTTTACCTTAACCGAGTTGAGAGATGGGCTCACGACTCCCACCAGAGTTAACGAGCTCCTCACCGTGATGCAGAAGGAGAAAGATTGTGTTGTGAAGAATGTCGGTGAAGCAACCCGACAATGGTCTGCAGTTGCATGCACCATCGCAACTACTGAGAATAAAGACTGCCTTGATCTTTTCATCCAATTAGATGGACTCTGGTTCATTGATCGGTGGCTCAAGGATGCTCAGAAGTTTGGAAACGATACTGAAAACCGTTTTTTGGAAGAATTAATCATTGCACTGTTACGGGCACTAGAGAGGCTCCAGGTAGACAACCATAGGTCTATTTCTTCTGGAATTGATAAAACTGTTCAGGATCTTCTTGGTCATAGTAGTTCTATGGTTCGGGAAAAAGCTAAAGCTCTATGTGAGGGGTGGACCCCCATTCAGGACATCGACGTAGCTCCAACGGATGTCAAAATGATTGAGGCAATTGGTAACGCAACAGAATGCCCCGCCGTTGCTATTTCTAATGAAGAAAACATGGAACAATCGAGCGATCAAAAGATGCTAAAAGAAGAGATGCCAACACAGGAAACAATTATGGAATCTGCAAGTACAAACCAGGATCCTGTTGATTCATCAGTGAATATTAGCGTAAATGTAGCTGTTAAGGTTGAAGCTGATAGATCGAAATCAGAAAGCACTGTTTTAACAGGAATTTCTGGTTCTACACCTACTGTGCAATCAGATATTTCTCAGTTGGGTAAGCATGTTGAAGATGCAAAGGAAAAGCAGGAGATCGATTCTTTGGATAAAACAGGTAAAGTGGAATCGACTACCGTTTCTAGTCCTTTGGAGCACAAACTTCTGAGTGAAAGTGCTGATATTGAGAAAACTTCGGAGCCTGATACAAAGACGGAAAAGAGGGAAGACACCAGTGACAAAGATGAAGATATGATGGATGGTGGTGATTCTAGTGGTGGAGCTTTGCAGGTATCCGAGAATAAATGGGGAGAAGCTGATAACCCTAAAACTACATCAAATACAGAAAGTGATGAGGAAGATGCAAAGAAATTTGTTGGAATTCAGAGCGATGATGATTCAGGAAACTTTTCACGGTTTTCTAAACGGTCGATGAAAGGTCAAGATGGTGATTTGATTAGCAAGAGACCATCTGATATGGAACTGGATTATGGGATGGTTGATCCATTGGAGCTGGCTAGACAAGTTGCTAATGAAGTGGAAAGAGAAGTTGATTCTAGGGAACGAAGCTGTAGTAGTACTTCTCAGAACGTTTCTGGTAGTGGAATCGAGAGGGCAAGCAGTCCAGACTCCAGAAATGAAAAAGAACCCGAATCCGTCGGGGGCTCGGGTAAGGAGGTTTCATCCGGATCTGGACCTAAGGGTTCACCGAGGGCAGCCGAGCCAGTGACTGATGTTGAAACACTTGTTTCCAAAATGGCAAGTTGTGAGCCTAATATACCAGAAACTAAAATTTCCGAGATGGCTCAAGAATCGGCACCTAATGCTGAAAGAGGGTTTTCTGGGTTTGATCTGAATCAAGAAGTTTCTTCTGAAGAACCCGAATGTCGAGTCGATCCTGTCTTGACCCCAGTCTCGGTTGTTTCTGCCTCCAGGGCAGCTGCAGCAGATGGATTACCTGCTGCTCCTTTGCAATTCGAGGGTACCCTTGGTTGGAAAGGGTCGGCTGCAACGAGTGCTTTTAGACGGATCCCTGAAGTCGAAAGGGCATTTAGCCATAACAACTCAAAGCAACGATTGGATCATCTTGATTTCGATCTGAATGTTGCTGAAGGCAGTGAGGATGTAATCGAAGACCTCTTATCTCGAGACAAAATGCCGATCACCTCTTTTCTAGAACCTTCTGTTGAAGAACCAAGGAGATTAGAGAGGCTGCAGTTGGATCTTAATAGTCTCGGGGATGGCGATGCTGGCACTATCGCTCTCGATTGGAAGCGTGATAGCCGAGTAGCTTCTTTGAGGCACAATGGTCCCCAAAGTCCGTCTTTATCCTCTTCATCATCGTCGATGCAACCTTCTTTTAGGAACATCGATTTGAATTTGAACGACCACTCGACTATTCCGAATAACACTTCTTTCGATAATCCGTTTCTCGGTAAGTTATTCAACAACTCCAACGTTTCTGGAGGCTCCTATAAGCGAGATGAATCCGTTATTTCCATTTTTGGTACCCAAGTCGAGGTAAAGCGCAAGGATTCTGTTCCTGTACCTAACGGACGGATTTTAGACCCTCCTGTGGATTTCAGTTTGGGAAGAAGCGGGCCTGGTTTGGGGCTAGGACCTTCAATGCCTTACGCTAATCTACCTGCTTACGGTCACAATGGTTTTGCATTGGGTCCCGCTATGTCTTTCTCCGCACCCATGTATGGCCCGCCAGGTGGGCCAATTGGCCCGATCCCTTACATGGTTGATTCAAGAGGAGCCCCTATAGTCCCACAACTCATGGGGTCATCATCCTCCATCCCACCTCCCTTTTCTCAACCAACACAACCTTTCATCTTCAACATGACTGCAACCGGTGCACCATCTGGCTCAAACGGTGCAGGCCCATCACGTCATAACTTCGATCTGAACTCTGGCTTCATGACTGATGGGGGAAATAGAGAGAATAACGGGGGATTGAGACAGTTTTTTAGTCACAATCAAGTGAGACCAGTGGATGAACAGCAGTTCTTGAGGATGAGCAACTCACTACAAGCCTCTTCGAGTTCGGTCATCGGAGGGAAACGTCAAGAACCTGATAGCGGATGGGAATCGTTCCCGATTAACTACAAGCATCATCAACAACCACCATGGCAATAGAGGTTTGTGTTTTATTCATCTTGATCTGGCTCCCTCTCATCTTTTTTACCAGTTTCCATAGCAGCCATAGTTATAGAGAGAGTAGGCAAGCTGTTAACTTTAGTTGGAGGGATGTTGGTGCAATTTCGAATAAAAAGACCGTTAGAAAGAAAGTCCCGGTGGTCTCGGGACGGTGGCGGATGTAATCTTATTCATGAGATTAATTGGCAAAGAAATTAAGTAGGTTTACAGTGAGATTTATTTCTTAATTTGGTTTTTAAGTGTCTGATAGAACTTTGTTCACATAGAGATGTAATTTCTTCTCCATATATATCAAAGAAATTTAGAGAAGCTGTTTGCTTACATTTTAAGCTTCCCCTTTGATGCTAGTAGTGATTTATTATAGCATGTTTTATATCCGTAGCATCATATGATCAATTAGGGGCCGTTTACCAAACACTTATCCGGTAAGTGCTTATCGGTAAAAATTTTACACTATCATTTCCTTACCGGTTAAGATTTTAGTTCATCAAAATGACATCGTACGCAACAATTCACCTGGTAAGCGCTTATCGTGGTAAGAGTCGTCGTCCTTACTTACCGGATAAGACTCTTGGTCATTGTCTCGCTCTTACCGGGTAAGATTCTTGGTTCTTATCATATTCATTCGGTAAAATAATGTGACTTGGTAAGCGTTTACCTGGGTAAGCGTTTGGTAAACGGTCCCTAAGACTGGATTATAGTTTGAATCATATTTCACAAAGGCTTTCTAATTTTGTCATGCAAATATATTTATTTTAAGTGAGTTTTTGGAAAAATTTGGATCTTATAATTTAGTAAATCAACAATTTACCAGCGTACGAGTCAAGACCGGACAAAAAGTATAATCTTGTAAAGATTATTATATGTAACACCCCAAGATTATAGACATATATTTTCATATATCAAGAAATAACTTACATAATTGGTTTCACTAATTACAAAAGCTACATTACAAAGTAGCTACCAATTTTTTTCACAAATTACTGTACAAAACTTGTATATATAACGAGTATCCCAAATGCAACAGATAACATGTTATCTTAACATTCCATGTAGGTAAATATAACTCTTTACCATTTCCCTTCCCTTTATCATCTGATTGCGTCCGACCTGTAATACACATTTTCAGAACACAAAAAATGAAGGTTAGACCTTGAAGTCTAGTGAGAAATCCCTTTGTTGGCTATTACATGATGAATAATCACTAAACACATTTATAAACTCATGTTTGTAATAATAATAGATAAACCACACTTTAATAAAACAAACATCTTTTGTCGCATCTAAAAGATGAGACATCACCAATTTATCGCATCAATTAATAACTCATTAACACATTATGATATAACTCATCATATCATATAGGTAAAAAATGTAATTTCCTCGTATCACATGGGTGAGACAACCCCATCTCCTCGCAACACACTGGTGCGAGGACCTCATCTCATCGCATAACACTGATGCGATAAACCCAACTTGTCGAATTACATTGGTGCGATAAGTTAACTTGTCGCATCACAATGATGCAACAAACATACTCCTCGCATCATAAGGATGCGATAACAACTTTTCATCGCATCAATAGGATGCAATAACTTTAAGTCATCACATCACATAGATACGACAACTTTAAGTCATCACATCATAACGATGCGACAACAATTAACAGTTTGATCAAAAACCTAGATTTTACATTCCATTGGTTATGTCACCCTTATCTTGATATACACTTCTCCTTGATATGTCACCCTTATAACCAAAATAGATCTCTACTTGATATGTCACCCTTATAACCAAAATACACCTCTCTTTGATATGCAACCCTTATTCCAAACACATGATGTAACATATCAAAAATCCCACAAATTATGTTAATTAAAGCATCAAAAACAGTTTTATAATCACTCTCATATAAAGAACCATACGGTTCTAATTTCAACACCAAATAAGGAAAGTTTGTAAAATAAACTCACCTTATCAATCACAAATAGATGAAGATAGGATGATGAAAATCAGAGCAAATATTCAGAACAAAGATTAACAGAACTCAACTTCTACTTGCTTCCTCTTTCGGTTTCTGTTTTCACTCGAACATAAGAAAACACACATAACTTTTTCTTTATTTCTTTCCTTTTTTAACAATCCCCATGAGATATACATAATATCTCATAAAACAATTATAAATTATAAACCATAAGAGGCGGTGAAATTCTTAAGAGGAATTTAGCACATAACCAAGTCAACCCCCTTTAACTTACCACCAAAGTTTAAAACGACCCCGAACCTTATAACCGAATATCCGGTTATCACATTATATATCTCCGTACACAAACATACCTTGTTTAGAACATTCAATACAATTGGAGAATGTATATCTTTGACTACTAATTGCCTAATTTAACAACCGGTATTTTTACTTATCAAGTCACAGTTGATCTTTACTTGTCGGGCTCCATAATTTGATTTGTCTGTGGTACTAGACCATTCTACTAGTCAAATTTACGTGACTTGTCTCAGGACATCTTTAACATACTTCTATCCGTCAATCCAGAGACGTTATACTTGGACATCTTTGAATCGTCCAAGAGTTGATTCAAAATGATCATCTTTTCTCCGGATCATTTGATGCCCAACCAATCGATCATCAAAACCCCAGTTAAGCCACGATGCATATATCATCTTTATATATTACTTTACATAAAAGTATGCGTTAGAAAGCTTTTCCCTACAAAATGAAAAGAAAAGTTTGAGGACGCTAAGGGCCAGTTCGGTTTGACGAAATACTTTCGAGGGATTTGAGTTTTGTGGAAGAATTTGAAATCAGAAGGCTTTGTAATCTTTGATGTATTCGGTTTCTAGGGTTTGGAATGTAATTGAATTACATTCTTTATCACTAATTTCTAAAAAAAAAATTACAAAATTAGTTATATTCACTTTTATTAATTGATTATCACAAAACAAACGTTTTAAACATATCTTAATCATTATTACAAACAAATCCTACGAAATCTCATGAAATACCAACTTTCATTAAAATTGGTGGATTTCAGTTCCGGTTTTTTTTAAACCAATCACAAGATTGAAACGAGATTGAAATTTTAGATGGTATGTAAACCAAACCATCCAAAAAAGTAGACATGAAACAAGAAGGCAGCTTTGGCACTTAAAGTGTAAATCACTCCAAAGCTTTTGACCAAAGGGAAGATTCCTGAAAAGTAGGGTTATAAAAATGAACACACAACCACCCCACAAGTTAGGGACTTTATTTACAACCGTCCATGAATAAACAAATAGATGCATTTGCTATCTTTCAGGGCCAAAAAGATTCGATCCAACCACAATGGTGGTGTCTGATTGGTTTGAGCTTGACTTCGAAGGTCAAACGTACTAAGAGGTCTCAGGTTCAAATCCAAGGAGGAATAAAAATCCCCTTGTGGCCACAGAGGTTCAAATGTGATAACTCTGGGCTATCTGCAAAACATGTGGTTGCACTGAGATTAGTCAGCTCGCATAACGGGTTGAATATCCAGGTTAATAAAAAAAAAAGATTCGATCCCCTCACCTTCTCAATTGTTATGATTAGTGCTAATCTTATATTCTAAGTGTGTGTGTATATATATATATACACACACACACAAACCTCCTTTCATTTTAGGGTTTTTGTGTAGGCATTTTGGTCCCCTTGGCCTCTAAATCACCCCCTACATCATAATATCTTAACTTGGTATGTCTTTAATGTTGATACTTGTTTAAGTAATACGTACATACGATATTCAATTTAACACGTTTGAACAACAACAACCAAGTGTTTTGCTGGTAAAGTTTATTACTTGTTTCTTATAGAAAATATAGTGATCTTCCTTTTCGATAAAGAAATGTGTAAGAGCGTTTGTGTACCTACTAAGGAAAAAGATGTACATTTGTGTCGATATTGAGTCTTTTATTAGTGATTACTAAAATGAAGAGTGAAAACGTATGAGTTGAACCAAAGAATATAAAGAAATGTTCCAATATCCAAAAGTAACCCTAACCTAAAGAACCACAAGGCCATGGCGGAGGTGGGTTGTGTTGAAGCAACAACAGTCGCTCCAGAGTCCTCACCCTTTCTTGCTTCTTGGCTCTCTCCCTTTCTCGCTTTTATTGGCTTCACACGTGACATGACTAGGCTTTATCAGCTTTATGTTTCTCTTCTATATTTGAAGTTCATTTCACAGTTTTGTTGTACCTACAAATATTACATATACAATGAGTAAAATGATAGATTTTGCAAATAATCAAGAAAATAACTAAAGACGAATAAACAAACCTCATTTGAACTCAAACGATCATTGGATCCATTGGTACTAGAAGTGCTTCGAGAAGTCAGGATGAAGTTCAGATCCCAACGTCTGGCCCATACTTCTCGAGCATGGTCTCTTGGTACTGATAACAAAACATGGTTGGTATGTTTTTTCAAAATAAGTGGTATCATAACCATTATAAATTAAAATATGTGTAACTTGTTTTTAACAAAAGTTGTAACATAATATATTGGGAATCACAACACCATCCAATATGCTACAACTATTCCAAAATTCTAAGCATCACAATCAATTAACAAACTACAAGTATTAATGATGCCATTTAGGCTATAATTAAGCAAACTAATGAAGAAGACATTGCGTTCAGGGTAAGAAAGCCAGCGGTCCCTGACCCCGACGCTTTCGTCTTATCGGTACTTTCAAATATCTCGCTAGTTGTCCAGTGCGGCCTTCCTTTTATTTGCCGCAAAAGTCAACACAACTATTAGTAACTAAGATAAAATTGCCTCGGATTCCATCCCATTTTCCCGAAAAAAAACTAAGACAAAATAAAATTTAAAACATAATTACAAGTTTAAGTTAACTTACAAAACACAATATTTGTTGAGTCACCGACTTACCGACATAATCTCTCTCTCTCTCTCTCTCACACACACACACACACATATATGTTGTTGCAACGTTGTCTTTAATACATCTGTAAGTAACGACAAGTCATAGATCGACGGATTTTCCTTTCCTCGATAATCTATTGATAAACCGTATTTGTTTTTGGTTTATGAGGCGTTCCCTCGGTTGTCCATCAGTAATTATGCATGGGATGAGTCCGTTAATTTCCGTCAATAATTTTCAACGTTCTAGCTAGCGGTACTTTCCCCGAAACAGTTAAAATATACACATCTTGTTAACAAGTCTTGAATCCGTGTTAAGTACCAAAATGAAAACGACATTTTATCGAATAAATTCTAATCATACGAAGTGATGATTAATTGATGGAAGATGTAGTTAATGTAGGGTT